GCCTGCGCCATGGCTGGGTTCAGCTCCGTGTCGAGAGCATGCCTGCGAGTGACAGATTTGCCACGAGTTGCTCGGAGGGTTTAGGGTTCAGCTTGGGGGTTCAGGGCTTGGGGCTTCGAAGGTAGGGACTTAGGAGTTTAGCGCTGTAAGGCTTTAGGGTCTAAGGCTCTGGGGTTTAGCGTTTGGGGTATTGTTTCACTTCAGCATTGGGTTTGTGGGGACTTCTCACAAAGATCTGCGAGCAACATGAAATCCTAGATCCCACTGCACTTTCCCCTGCATTCCCAAGCCCCCGGTGTGAAGACTTAGAACCTCTGCGCACGACCTTGCAACGAAGCAGCAACCTGCCCACACGAAGCCAGCAAATCCAAGGTGCACTCGGTTTTGCATCCAAAGCGCACTCACACCTCTTTTGCATCCGGGGCGCACTCCGGGTCCCTTACGTACTGTAAAAATGTGGCTACGGTGCTCCTGCCCGGCTCCAGGATTCAGGATTTTCCTGTTGGGCAAAAGATTCTCCTCGGATTCACTCCTTAGGGTTCTCGTCATGGGCAAAAGGTTCCTGCCATTTTCACTGATTAGGGTTTTAGTGTTTGGCAACAGAGTCTCACTGGATTCGCTCCTTAGGGTTTCCGTCTTGGGGAAAAGGTTCCTGCTAATTTCACTCCTTAGGGGTTTCGCCTTGGGCAAAACGTTCCTGGGGATGCCCTGCGTAAGGTTTTCGTCTTGGGGAAAAATTTCCTGCTGGATTCTCTCCTTAGGGTTTTCGTCTTGAGCAAAAAGCTCTTGCTGGATTCACTCCTCAAGGTTTTCGTCTTTGAGTCGAGTTGAATCGAGAGTTTTTTTTTTGAGGGCCTTTTTCCGTCTGCTAAATCCTAGAGTTTAGGGTTTAAGGTTCACAGTTTTGGATTTTGCCGGATTTCCTTGTTGGGCAAAAATTCTCACTGGATTCACTCCTTAGGGTTTCCGTCTAGGGGACAAGTGAGTCAACAAGCGCAGTGGCAGGGCATGACAAGGGCAGGAACAGACACGGGCAGGGGCACGGCAGCCTGATTTGTCCGGTGCGGAAGCGACGTGGGAGTGCACGGCAATGGGCGCGAACAGGGGCACGGCAGATCGATTTTTGCGGTACCGAAACGACATGCGAGTGCGCCTTGGATTTTTCCCAACTCCGGCAGGGGCAAGGCAGCTCGATCATTACAGTACGGAAGCGACATGCGAGTGCACCTTGGATTGTTTTCCGAGTGTGCCTTGAACGCAAAACCCAAGTGTACCTTGGATAGCGTGCCCCCCACACGAACTGGTTCTTCATGTATTCCTCCCGAAATCCGAACCCGGCTACAAAGCCCAAGCAATTCACCCAGTGCGGGGCGCACGTCACGCTAAAGGCTACGCTGCCCCAGCCGCCAGCAGACCTGGGCTAAAGCTTCGCACAGCCCGGGCATCAGCCCTTGAGTAGCGAAGCTTCGGGCTTCGACATGTGAGAACATGCATCTGTGAGCAACCTTCTGTGCAGGCCTGCATGACATCCCTCCTTAACTGAAGATTGTGGGGTCTCACGAGTGCGCGAAACGATGTCGTGGTTAAGCAACAGGACCGATGCACTTCCCTTCTTTCTTCAACCGCTACTGTGAACGGTTCGAGATTGATTTGAGTGGTCCAAGCAGCACTTCCATTCCCAAAGGCCTTGATTCTGTTTCTATCGACCCACAGGCTATCTATCCATGTACGTATCTATCCTTCCTACCCACGTACCCTGCTATCCATCTACCGATCTACCTACCTACCTACCCACCCACCCAACTACCTACCTACCTTCCTACCTACCTTCCTACCTACCTACCTACCTGCGCCTGTTTACACTACGTATCTACCTATCTATCTCTCTGCCAATCTACCTTCGATCTATCTATCTATCTACCTATCTATCTATCTATCTTCCTATCGAGCTACATATCTGTCCATCTATCCATCTACCCACCTACCTGCCTGCCTGGCTATCTATCTAGCCATCCATCCATCCACCCATCCATCCATCCATCCATCCATGTATCCATCTGTAGGTGCATTTCTTGTCTATATGCGTATGCCTAGAGAAAGGGAGGGAGCTGTGCATATGTCTGGATACGTGTGTATATTGTGCATGTTAGACAAAAGCTTCTCTCAAGATTGGTCCTGGAAACCACATAGCGCCACACAGTTCCCATGCAACCCGACAGTCCAGCCGGGACCTCTCGACGGTCACATCCGAAACATCCGAAGCTCGAAGGAAACTTAGGGAGTCGTTGCACGCCAACCATTCACTTCTCAAGAAGAGCCGCTGGACGACACTCACCGCAACTCAGAAGGGGCCGCAGATTAGAGTGCACACTTGACCAACAGCCGACACGCGTTACACTAGAAACCCTTCTTACCAAAAGTACTACCGATGACTACGACTGTGATGACAATTCTAGTTTATCCCGCGTCTTTGAGGTCACGGCGAACCCAGGTCCTTCAGCATCAGCGCGGTGGAGATATTACCAAAAAGGACCAAGGAATGGCCTGATCAATGGGCGCTTTCTGGGTTTATAGGGTTCAGGGTTTAGGGCGCAGACATGGCAGTGGATCGGATCTTGAAAACATGCCAAAGTCGCATGTGATCGCCGCAATGAAGAGGAAGCACGTACATCGTGGGACCCCCTGCTCAAGCAGTCTCGCTTCAAAACAAGAACCTTGGCCTTTGGATTCCCTGTGACACTTACGCACTAGATCACTTGTGTCACTTTTTGTATCACTTGAGAATAGTGCTTTAAAGCAAGTGTTTTCTGGCTTGAGGCCCTGGAAAAGTCCCTCCTGGTTCTGGCCCGCCATCTGCGCTGCAATGTCGTGGAGTTTCGCTCAGATGAAGACCTTTCGAGCAAGCACCCAAGCAATGAAATCATGAGCAAACTCCGTGTCGATCGCACCGAAACGAGAACTTCTACGCAAACTCTCATACCGAAGCAGCGGTCAGACTCCTCAATCTGCAAATGTGTTTCCCGCATGCTCGGAGCCCAAGGCTACCGAGAACGGAAACCTTGATCTGGGATCCCGACGCTGCGCTGGGCTGCGCGGCGCGGGGATAAAGACAGGTTCAGTGACAGAGGGATGGGCGCCGAAACACAAGCGGTCCCGTCTTGGGCCAGGAAAAGCAGAAAGCTGTGCCTACAAAGTGGGCAGAAGGGCGGCTGGGGATCAAACCCTAAACCCTCAACCATGAACGCTACGCACAAGGGAAGCGAACCTCCTAAGTGTATTGGGGGTTTAGGATTTAGGGCTTTAGGGGTTTAGGGTTCAGGATTTGGGGCTGCATTCTCCTGATATGTTGGGGCCTTGCAAAACGACCTCCCTGATCCTGATGTCCTGCTCAACTTCGACATTGCTCCAATGCCAACACCAAATCCCCTTCTACGCACTGCAATCGTTAACAATAGTCGTAGTAAGTATTAATTACAAAAAGTAGTGATAATGATAGTAACAATAAGAAGAATAGTTATTTAGCAATAATCAAAATAATAAAGATAATAATAAAAACACAAACATAAAAAAAATATGAGGTAATGCTTCAACATGCTCGTAGGCCGGAAGGCAGCTTTTCCATGACACTCAAAGCAAGGACCTGAAGGGCCTTTTAGGCTTCTCTGGGCTTTAGGGCTACAGCTGAAGTAGGTTTAGGGTGCAGGGTTTAGGGT